CATTAACAGGTTTAAGTTGTCTACTGTGCACATCTGTGGGTAGGCTTCTACAGCAAGGGGATGACTAACGTGGGCACCACCTCCTGTGGATTGTGTTGCAAAATAAAACATCAGTGTAACTCCCTGTTTACCAGTTTGGAGACATCAGGTACCGGCTCACCAGCTACTGCAGGCTGTGCGCACTCTTTATTTTTAAACATTCTACAGCAAACCTTTCTGGCATAGCTAAGACTTCCAATTGTGTAACAGCTGAGGGGACAACGCATTGCTCAACTTTATTGAATTCAAAAACATGAAGAATTGGTAGGAATGGTACGGGCAGGTTGAGCCACCTAGGGAAAGCAAACACACCTCTTCAGGTTTTTAAAACATTGTCCTGGTTTCGGCTGGGATAGAGTTAAGCATCAAAGCGTAACCTGGAAAACCAAAGCAAATTAAAACTAATACATGATGGGTGTGTGCACGGAAAAAAAAAAAAAGGTGGGCAAATTCCACTGCAGTGAGTGACACCTGCTGCTTGCATGACTCGTTTTTCCTTCTTTCCAGCCCGTTTGGCACACATCATTGCTAACTGCTATGGAAACGGAAAGAGCTGTTTGCCTTCTGCAAATACCAAGGAACCTGTTTTTTTCGCCCTCAGAATAATTTGAGGGTTAGAGAACTGAGCCAACCATGGCAATTTTTTCCCAGGTCCCCTTTTTATTACTATTTCGTTAATCTTCAGTACGTTCAATGGACTGTAAATTGCTTTTGCCATTGCAGAGATGCTTAGCGCTAGCGTTGTGGATTCACTGGACTTTTCTTGGCTGTGTTAATGCAACACAGAAGACTCTTGCAGGTTTCTAAAAGGCCAGTGATGTTGCAGGTTGGTGGTGGGATTTTTTTAATCTATGCAAAATTGTTTTTAAAATCTCAGTGAATGTACAGTACATGGCTAAAGGGAGGGAGCTTGCAAAAGGACCAGGAAAATAGGGTGAGCACACTAACCCTTCCGACTAACTAGGATCCCTGCTGAGTCATGAACCTGCAAGTACAGCACCTCCCAATTAAATGCTGTATTTCTATAAAAAGCACTATTTCAGTGATAGTTACAGACTGGCTCTCAAACCCCAAACTATAAATGGAAAGGAAGGCTAGAAAGCAAACATTTTGTACTGTGGACTTGGTGATCTTTCTAAAAGACTTGCTTGTAAAACTAGGAAAGTTTGACTAATGGTTCTAACCGTGACACAAAATAAGGTGCCGCACCCAGCTACTCCGCCTCCCATGCTGGCTGCTCTGAGGAGGAACAGACCAGGCCACGTGCACCTCAGCCTCCTTCAGCAAGGCCGCTCCTGTGAAAGCCTCACAGACTAGGTTTCTGCACAGATTTTTCTTGTCCCCGATTAAAAATCTTGGATTTGTATCTCCCTGCAAATGCTTTTATCTTAGGCTCTCTTAGCACAACAAACCCTGGCAGCAGTGAACTACTCTGACCCTTTGCTCAATTAATTATTATACTGCAACCTGGCCCCGTTCCATGGGGATTAGGCAACCTTACGCCTTGTGAGCCCTCTGCTCCGATCAGGTTTGCTCATCCTGGACAACCAAGGGAAAAAAAATAGTAAATCTTCCCTGTGCCCTCTGCAGCACTGCAACCCTACCCTCCCTGCAGAGCTCTCAGCCTGTCCCACAAGGTCAAAACTGCACTGAGGAGCCCATCGGACTGACAGGTGTCCCCTGTGCATGCATGAAATTGTCGTGACTAGCTAATAGCAAGCATGTCCCCCCTAGCAGATCCTGTGGGCCCTGAGCTTTCATCTCTGAGATACCCTCTGCTGCAGCACAGCCACGGTCTCTTTTCCTGATTTGCAGTCCCATAGCTGTTTGGTGAGTTGCTGCTGGATTACGGATCAGGCCAGTCAGCTATCAGGCATGCTGGCTCATGAGAGAGGGGTTACAACACATTGCTGCGAATGTGCAGGGCACTGGGCCTTTCTAGGCTGGGAGACCACGAGCAAGAAACCAGCAGACTGTGCCCAGGCAGAGGAGGAGAGCTCAAAGAGGCCCTCAAGGAGAGCCGATCCCTCCTCCAGCCAAGGCCTGCGCCGGCCGGCCCAGCCTTATCTCCGTCTCCAGACAGGGGCCCTGTGGAGGCGGCCACAGCGCCGCGCTGCCGGCAGGAAGAGGCGCCGGATCTCCACAGGACCCGCCCCGCGCCCCGTCCTGCCCGCCAGGGCGATACCAGCCGGCTTCGCCTGCCCACAGAGCCAGCTCAAACCCGCAGCTGAGGCGAGCGGCTGCCCGCCGGCCCCCCACACCCCCCCG